TAACTAACGAGTCTTGCACATCAAAATTAAAAACCAACCTCAGCCCATCACTTATAGAATCCAGCCGTTCCTCATCCTCTGTCCCTTCTTCGTCGCACATGATAAAACATCGCGGTGGTGTAAACGCCAATATCGCGCACTGCACAGATACAGAATAAAATATATTTCATGCTGACATCCACAAGGCGATAGATAATTGCTTAGAGTGACAGTTCACGACATCCTTCTTTGCTAGGCTTAATGAACAAGATATGCTGGGGAATGTCTTCACAACCCTATTAGTTATGTTGAAAATGGTTGCAGACTTTTGGGCAACCTGCATGAGCCGGAAAATAAATTGGGAAGAAATGAAAGCGGATGATGTTAGCAGTGGAAGATGATATGGGGCCAACGAAATGCGGTATTTAAGTTTGAAACGTTGATATCGAACTTGCTTAGAAGCCATTAAAGTAATTTTACGAAAAAGAAGCATGCACGATCTATTAATTACAGCAAAGTCGAAAAACCTCACAAACATGCAACCGCTAGCCTTTTCTGAAATTCCTATCCAAAGGATCTTTGCCGGTTTGTTTGACTTGAAGCTAAAGTTACTAGGCAATCAACAGACCGTATACTTAGAAAAAGCATTTGCGACTTCTTTCAGAAATAGTTAGTAGATGCAGAAGGCAGATTTGAAATCGCGTTTCAAGATGTACTGTTAACATCTCATTTAAACAGCTAGAGCCACTCAATAACCTTTATGTGAAAGAAAATCGAAGGAAAAAGAAAGTGTCGGATGATCTTCAACCAACGCCTTTTATGGAAAAACAAATTCTTTTCAACGCTAAAGCCCACCTCACGAATGGAGAATTTGAGTATGTCAAAAGTGAACTTCACATCCGGCAACCATGCCAAGTCCTCATCGAGAGCGCAACGCAATCCTCCTTGGTCTCCTGTGCAGTCCAGCTGCTCCGAACGCGGAGTTCCAATCATCCTCACCCGTGCTTCAAGGAAGTCTAAAAACGAAAAGTCGGACAACTGGTTCAATTGAGTCATAGATCCATAGCTTCTTACTTGGAAGATCTATTGACACTTCAAAGCATGACGGATTATAGTCGACAAGGCGTTTCTCGAGCATTGATAGACAGCTCCAAAAAAGAACTCCCTCCTTTCTAAGACGCTCGATGAGGATTTTGGGTGTCTTTTTCTGGGAATGCAAGCAAAAAGGGCGGAAGTGATAAAGGCTAAGTGGAAGGATGAAATATGGAAAATTGAAACCTGTAGGGTCTTCTGGCATTGCTTGCGCAGTTGATCCTCATCAAAAGTGGGATATTGAGAAGGCCAATCTGTTCTCGTAGCATCATCTGTAGATGGTTCAAAGCCAATTAAACGTTGAGTTGATGA